GCCCATGTGTTGTTGAAGGCTTGGTTCCTACTCTGTGCTGCTATCAAGAGGAGGTGGGGTCTAGTGGAGGAAAATCACACCACTATTGTACACATTTGAAGGGAATATTGGGACCCTAGCTTCGTCCTGTTCCTCTTTGCTTCCCTGCCGTCATGAGGTGAACAGACTTCCTCTGCCATGTACTGTCTTCTTCTTGTCCCTCTCTGCTTCCTGGCTACCATGGGGTAAACAAGCCTTCTTTGTCATGTGTTCCAACCCTTATGCCTGTGCTATCACAAGCTCAAAGTAACAAGGTCAAGTAAACTATGTGCGAAAATAAACCTCTCCCCCTCAAAAACAATTTATTTTTATTTTATGTGTGCAACTTCTTTGCCTGAATGTATATGAAGTGCACCACATGTGTATAATGCCCACAGAGGTCAGATCCCCTGAAATTGGAGTTACAGATGGTTGTTAGCCTCCATGTGGGTGCTGGGAACCAAACCCGGGTCCTCTGCAAGAGGAGCCAGTGCTTTTAACTGCCATCCCTCCAGCCTCATCCTTCCTTTTAGGTTAACTGTCTCAGTTATTGTCACAGTAATGGAAAGCTTGCACATGAATCAAAATCAGTCATAGTAATACTAACCCCATTTATCTCTGCCAGAGGTTGGCATGTGGGCTTGTGACATGGTTCTGGCCAATGAGATGCAAGAAGAACACTGCTGAGGAGGGGCTTATGGGAGTGTGTGTGTGTGTGTGTGTGTGTCTGTCTGTCTGTCTGTCTGTCTGTCTGTGTGCTGGCGATTGAACCTAGGAATCCAGGACCCTGTGCCTACTAGGCAAGTACTCCTTCAGACCTCTCGGAAGTTTTTTCCTTCCCATTATACTGATGTATATGTAAAGGGCCCATCCCCTTCTCTCTCCTGATTTTGAACACTGTGGTATAAGAACACATAGCTCGGTGCTGCCATAGCCACTTGTAACCATGAAGAAAGCCACGATTGACACTTTGATCTCTGAGCTACAGGACCCCCTGCCCCCAAAATAGCTGACTCTTCCATATTATTGTTAAACCAGCAAATGACTTGAACATTTAAGCTCCTTTGGATAGCATGTTATGTTCTTTGCAGCAGAACACTTCCCAAAGATACAGACATGTGCAGTGCTGTCTCCTAGGTCAGCTAGACGAATAGCTGGTTTCTACTTGTCATTGTGGGTATCTTTTACGTTAGGTGAGGCACTGCAGCAGGAGTTTAGGCTGAAGAATTCCTACACACTCCTTTAAAGCTAGAACTCCTTACTCTTCAATGAACACTAAGCAGTTACACTTCTTTGTAATCAAGTGGTAATTGAATGGACCCTTGGTCACTAATATCACTGTCAATTATTTGAGCTGTGTAGGCATGTGGCCACGGCTGGCAGAGGTGATGTGGTAAGGAAGAAGGTGCTTAAAGGTAAAGCAGTACTTAGGTGCACAGATAACAACTGAGCCCTATTAAATAGAAGTTTTTCATGTAACTTTTTGAGCTGATGGCTTTCAGCCAAATTCCACAGGTCCAGTTCCATGAACTTAATTTTCATTGTATTGTAAATTTACATCAAATTGCATTTAAATGTATCTGTTCTTTTGAATTTGTATGCAAATTGCAAAGGCTATCAATTTGATGAATTCTTCATAGGGATTATATGATAAATATAATTAAAGGACTGAAATTCCCTAATGACAAAAGCAGAATATTTTTAAAATGAATATTGGAATTCTAAATTGGTGATTTTTTTTTGGGGGGGGTCTTTTTGAGACAGGGTTGCCCTGTAGCTCCAGCTGCCTGGAATTCTGTAGACCAGGCTGGCCTTGAACTCACAGAGGATCTGCCTGCCTCTGCCTCCTGAGTGCTGGGATTAAAGGTGTGTACCACCACGCCCGGCTAAATTGGTGATTTTTATTCCATGCTAGAAGCAATTTTTCCCTATAAGTCACAGCTCTGTTACAGTCATAAAATCATGAGGTGGGCAGTATTTAATCTGTATCTTTTCAAGGATATACCTAATAAATAAGTCCAAATAAGCACTAAATATAATATGAGGCATATGTGATGTAATTATAGACTGTAAAGTTTATTTGCTTGAAAATAAAAAAATGAGTTTATCTTCTTTCCTATTTTTAAAATCCATTTTATTTTTATTTATGTGTATGTGTGTCTGCACATGAATATGCTTCCTGGAGTTGAAGTTACAGGCAGTTGTGAGCCACCTTATGTGGATTCTGAGAACCAAACTCTGGTCCTCTGCAAGAGCAGTAAGGGCTCTTAACTGCTGAACCATCTCTCCAGTCACCCCAGTTTTTGCATTTTTGTATCAGAGCATTCACAAGATTATATTACTCCATCTACTATTAACACAATTCTCTTTCTAACTCAAAATCCAGAAGTTAAGCAGGCATTTTCAAGTGAATGTGAAAATTCTGAAGTTCCTCTTGATCCTTACAGCCCTTCACAGTCTAGGAAATTATGTTTATGCATGTACAGTGATAGGACAGCCCACTGGACATGGGAACCAAGAACACTAGCTCACAGGCTCCTTTGCTAGCTGTATGCTTATAGACAGATTACTTAATCATTCTGAACCTCCACTTTCAAGTTAAAGTAGGGAACAACCCTTGGAGTAACCTTTAGGCTTATGTAAATTCCAAATAAGACAACATAATGAAATATGTCAAGTGAAATCAATTTAGAAATTATAAAATATGAATGTCAGATAATTGGTGATGGTTCAGTGGTTAAGAGCACTTGCTGTTTTCCAGAGGATCTGAGTTCAGTTTCTAGCACCCATGTTGGGTGGCTCACAATCCTCTGTACATCCAGCTCTAAGGGATCTGATACCTTCTTCGGGCCTCCACAGACACCTGCACACATGTGTATTTACATATACACATAGACATACAAACACACATAAAGCATTTTTTTTAATGCCAGAAACTTACAATTAATCATTTCTCCTTAAGATCTATGAGACATGTTGGTAGTTTTGATTTTAAACTCATTCTCCTTACAAGGTCTACCTATGTAGAATTCTGTTAAATAGCCATTGGGGACCTGGAAGAATAGCTAAGTCAGGATCATAGGCTGCCACTGTGGTACTCTAGATACCTTCTTTCAATAGCTGTTTCCTGTAAGTCTTCCCTTGTCATTCTTTTCAGTTATTCTAACTTGCCTGGCTCACATATGGCCTACTGGATTGATTAGCTTCTGATTTTAGTGGTGTGCCTATAAGGTCTAGTTTAGCCCAAGATCCTGACTGCAAAACCATAGCTAACAACTGACATTACAGAAGGTTTATTCTTTTGTTTGTTTTGTCTTCTGAGACAGGGTCTCACTCTGTAACCCAGTCTAGTCTTAAACTCAAGGCAATCCTTCTTTCTATGCCTCCCAAGTGCTGGGATTATAGGCATGAACCTTCATGCCTAGCTTCCAGCAGGTTTTTAAGATAATGCTTCCATAAAAGTAATGACTGTATAGTCATGACTTCCAAGTGAAGGTGAGGCAGCCCTTACAGGCTACAAAGATACATACAGATCTCAACACTTTAACCATAGGCCAGTACAGCAAGCTCTAAGCTAGACTTCAGGAAGACGCACTCCACCTCTTTCTTTACCTCTTCTCCCCTCCCCACCTAATTGGATCCATACTGGGTCTTAAAAGGGTTTCAGGGAATACAAGAGGGGTCAGCCTAAGGTAGCTGCATCTCTTCTGGGAAGTTTCATGATAGACTTCAAACCTAGGGTGAAGGCTAGGAAGATGAAAACTGAATTTCAAGCAAAGTTCGATAAATCTGTTATGATTTGCACCCAATATAATTTGGAAGGAAGCAGGGATTGTGTTGCTATCAGATAGTTGTCTAAGAACAGCAGAAAATGTGAAGATTCTAACTTTCTATCTGAGGACAGATAAACAGCACTGGATTTTAAAATGGTGCTGAGAGACCACAATGAAGCTACATCATATCAGGTCTCACACACATATTGTGAAATTAAAATACTATTTATGGCCTTCATATGAAACAGGTAATGTCCTTTTGTACAACAGAATCCAGGGACCAGTAAATGGGACTTGATAGGACAATTTCAGTTGAATCACCAAAAAGGATTTCAAGCCCAAAGAACACAAATATTTTGGTTTGGGTCCTAAATTTAATCAACCATTAAATATTTGTCTGTTATATGGGAAATCCTATTGGACACTTTGAAACTGTTTTCATTCCTTTAGTTCCAGGTACCATTTCTCATCAAACATAGTATGTATTCAAAAATATTCAATTTAATTATTCTTTACAAGACGCTTAGCAACACCGGATATGGCATTTTTCCAATGTTGACAACACTTGAGGTGAAAATGCCTGTATTTACAAAACGTAAACCTGGAGAGTAATTCTGCTCACTTGTATTTCGCAAGTGTTGTGAATGATCTACTATAGGAGAGAACAGAATTTAAACTAGAAACATATAAATGGGATTTACCCCTCCCCCATCGAGCCATGGTAATGCAGTAAAACACAAAGTGACTGGCCACAAACCTAGATATGATCGCCCTGGCACTCACCTGACCGCGAGCCCCTAGTTCCTCTCCAGTGAGCTTACTCTGTAAACTGCTGCAGAAATGCAGAGGTTTAATAATACCCTACAACTTGAATTCATTGCCACGTTCATAGCGCTTTATATATATTTTTCCACATTCTATTTGCATAGCAGCTCAAGACTCAGGTAGGTACTAACACACAGTACCCTCCACTTTATATTTAATAGAGGCACGGAGATCTCGTAGAGGATTAACAAATGTGGGTGGGTAAATTCCCAATTTAACAGAAGACGATGCTTCCACACAGCGGTAGTCAGACTTTTCCGTTCAGGTCCGCTCCAGCACCAGCGGTCGCCACGCCTCGGCACTGCTACGCATGCGTGGTGGAATTGGCGCAAGCCCAGTAGCGCTGGGCCACCCCGCCCCCCAGCTCTGTTGCAGCTGCTCTTGGAGAAGCCAGAGGATGAGCTAATCTCCGCAGGGTCTCTGTCTCCTGCGCTCACCACAGGTGCTTTGGGTGGATCCGGGAGTTCCCTTCCCAGTGCACACCCCGAAAGCATCCCTTAGACTTCGGTTCAGCAGCAGCCGGGCTCTGCAGGCTGACGACCCGGGCAGCAGCAGGAGGTAGTTTGTGTACGGTTACCATGGAAACGCTGGCAGGCCGGGTTGAGCTGGAGCGCCCGAGGACCGGCGGGCTAGGTGAGGATGCTGCGGTTCCCTGCCCTGGCCTGGACAGGTGGAGGAGCGGCTACTGCCAGGAGTGGGGGAACCTCTGTGCCCAGCGGAGGTGAGGAGTCCCCCTGTGGGTCCCCCGGGACCTCTCCTGCAGTTGTCCGGTAATACTTTACCTGCTCTCGGAAGTCGGGCACAGATGTCTGTTTCTATAACACCACTGAGCACCTAGTGACTTGCCTAGTATTTAGTCACAGAAGCTCAGTAATACTGGTTGAATAAAAGAGAGGTAGGCTAAGGGACTTTGTCTAGACAGGCGACCTGGCCAAGGTCATACAAATTGTACTTGGATTTTTCTAGGCAACAGATGGGGCCTCAAAAAAATGCATGTGAAACAATATTAAAAATGCATCTTATGTGCACAAGATACCTTTTAGGATACATCTCTTGAGTATTACAGCAGGTCTTCTACTTCACCCTGACTTAAATTTTTTTCAGCTTGGTAGAAAAGCAAGCCACGTTATTTGTATCCAATTTTGTGACTCTCTGAGATTCTGATTAGTTGAGGTTGATTTGGCATAACTGACATTCAAAATGGTTAATACAATTTTTCTTTTCATAAAGGAATGCACGCTCACCTTAAATTTTAGAACTTGTGCTATGCATGAAAACACTGAGCATGTCTATATCCCAGAATAGCAATGTTTTCCCCTTTCCCTGATGTCATAAACTTTGCAAAAGTTCTCATTCTGTTTTGTGATTTCTTTTTTCACTTATGGGATGGAGAACTTTTTCCTACTTCTTTTTATCTCATGCACCTGGACAGTAGTTCTTACTGTTTCTGAGGGCACCATGTTGAAGCACAAGGGCCATTTCATATGATTCTAAAAACCCTAAGAGGCAATTGCTGTTACCCATGTTTTACAAAAGTGGGGCACAGACACAGAAGTGTTCAAGGCCTTGCCCAGGCCACAGAGCTACAGATTGTCATAGGACTTAAATCCTTGCTTCAACATCTATACATTTTTCCACCACCTGCTTGGATGCTCATATTAACACCAAAGTAATTCAGCCATGGAAAATGTCCTGAGTATTTGATTTGCTGGGAAATGAGGGTACACAGGCAGACACTGATTGTAAGCATGCTGATAGTGCTGTGTTGCACTTAGCAAGAAAGATCTGGTTCGGGTGACTATTAACAGCCAAGGTAAAGGTCAAAAAATCTTCCTCAAAAATCTTTAGTTTGCTCATCAGCTTTTATTTTGTTTCTTTCCTGACATGTAGTTCTCCCCCCGCCCCATCCACCTCCGGACTTCATTTTGGAATTTCCTCTTGTCCATACACAGTATGTTCTTGATGTTCTTTCTTGGCTCACTCATTGACTTTGTTAGAGCTTCTTTCTATCCTCTAGCCACTGCCACTTCTTCAAAGTCAGCCCATTTTCCAGAACTGAGTTCAAGCACTGCCCCCTCCAGAACTCTGCCAGGTGCCCTCTCCCAATCTGAAATCTTTTCCTGTTGGAAATTTTGTAAAAAAAAAAAAAAAAAAAAAAAAAAAAAAAAAAAAAAAAAAAAAAAAAAAAAAAAAAAAAATTTT